TGTTCGGATACTCAAAAGTCACTTTGTGCTGCCAAGCTGAGATCGATAGCTGAAGAGCATGCCACACAACAACCAGACCGTAAATCTTTCTCTTTGTCTCGAGAGCACTTGAAAGCCCTCCGAGATCTCAGAGCACGGAAGGACATTATTATCACGAGACCGGACAAAGGTAGAGCCACTGTTATAATCACTAAAGAACAATACCACACGAAGATGGCTACTATCCTTGATGATCGGTCGAAGTTTGTTAAGTTAGGCCCTGTACAGATACACGACCGTACAATAGCTATAGAATCTGATATCATCAAGTACTTGCGGAACCTGCGGAATGCAGAGGAAATATCTAAATATGAGTACTTACGAATTAAACCGATTGGTTCAACACGGCCCAGACTTTATGGATTGCCGAAAATCCATAAGAAGGATTGTCCTCTTCGCCCAATACTTTCAATGTGTGGTTCACCTCAATATACAGTTTCGAAATGGTTGTGCGATATTATTACACCAGTAGCTAAGTACTATTGCAAACACAATGTAAAAGACACTTTCCAATTCATCGATATCCTGCGTGAGCAGCCAGTACCGTCTTGTTCCCACATGTGCTCCTTCGACGTTGTAAGCTTGTTCACCAATGTGCCCGTGATGGAGACAATTGACATTTGCGCTAATGCTCTGTACCACGATAAAGAGTACAGTAAACAGTTCGATTCTCCCTGGATGTCCGAAACTGCGTTCCGCAGACTAATGCAGATGATGACAACTGATGTTGAATTCTCTTTTGATGACACCATGTACCGCCAAATTGACGGGGTGGCCATGGGTTCACCATTGGGTCCAGTTCTGGCCAATGTGTTTGTCGGGTTTTATGAATCGAAGATTCCAAGTGCGATGTGGCCTAGCTTATATGTTAGATTCGTGGATGATTCGTTCACGCATTTCCGTAATCTGGAACAATCGAATGAGTTTCTTGGTATGCTCAACAACCTACATCCCGCTCTGAAATTTACATGTGAACATGAGCAGTCAAACCGTTTGTCTTTTCTCGATGTGTTAGTCGAGAAAACGGAGATGGGTGTTTCAACTTCAGTATATCGAAAACCAACGTTCACCGGGCAATACATTGTCTACGACTCCTATTGCTCGACTTTATACAAAACTAATCTCGTACGAAATTTGATCATGCGCGCTAGGCGGATTTGCTCGCCTGATAAGCTTCAGCAAGAGCTTTGTTTCCTGAAGAAGGTATTCGTTCAGAATGGATATCCTGTTCAGCTCCTCAGTAAGCAGTTTAGCGAACCTGATATTCAGGCTGCCGAGCCTGAGTTTGGACCTGACCCATGTCGTGTGTTTTTACGACTTCCATGGAAAGGTCAAATTTCGCTGGATGTGGCCCGCGCCGTGAGGACTGTTGTCAGACAAACCTATTTTGCCACAGCATTGACAACAGTCTTTACTACGGCCCGTGCGTTCACGGTGAAGAAGGATGTTCTTCCTACCCAACTGATTAGCCATGTAATCTATCATTTTGAATGTCGGCATTGTGATAGCCGATATGTAGGAAGAACCCTTCAGCACCTGAACGCACGCGTCAAACAACATGTACCATTGTACCTATTGTCAGATGGAGCCAAAGCCCAGCGACCTGGACGAGGCCGTCCCCGCAAACAGGTGCCAATTGCACAATTACAACAGAACCACACGGTGCCGGTTGAACGGACTACAAGTACACAGGTACGTGAGACTGAAGGAAATGGCCAAACACAGGTACGGAGACCAGTAACTAGGAGCATGACTCGTGCGCTGGTAATAGCATCTACAACCGGACATGGACTGGCAGCGAGCAGTAGCGTGGGATTGTCGTTGGGTGCAGAGGACGGGATGGAAGCGGAGGACGATGAGGAAGGTGAGAGCAGTGATGAAGAGAGTGAGTTGGACAACCAAGATGAAGATGACCGGACTGAAGGTGAGAGCACAACGAAAGGGTCAGCCATTAAGAAACACCTCTTGTCTAGTAGCCAATGCCGCTCAGTGTATGATGATTCATGCTTCACTGTTTTGTGTCGTGCTCGTAGGTTTCGTGAACTTAAGGTATTAGAAGCTGTTTTCATCCATAAACACAATCCTAATCTATGCATTCAGAAAGAAATGTCACAAAACTGAGACTCTTCACCTAGCATTCACACACGTATTCATTCGCATACACCTACACCTCACAGTTCCTCACTCTATCACATTCACCTGTTTCCACGCCTTCATTTCACTCACCTTTTGTAGTAGCTCACACCGTCAGAACACTCTCACATCTTTTCTTCTAATTTCTTTCGTCTTCTCTCCCACTTTAGTTTTTTTTCACACCTCACCTTGTATACTTCCCACTATCCGATAACCTATAAGTAGTTTGTTTCTCCGTATAGCCTCTATCGTGAGACGATTTTCCCTGATGATAGTCTCAAGAAAATCGATTAGGAACAACCATTTTAGATACATGTATTCTCATTCATCATTTTGTAATGTCCGCTTCACTTATACTATTAATCGCATTAATAATATTTCAATGGCCAGTATTTTAGAACCACTACTGTATCCTTAATGGAAGTATTGACCCTCAGGCAGCCTCCTCCTAATCTAGTCCTAACTTTTAAGATCTGATCAAGATGAAAGAACGTTGAGAAATGATACAAATAAGTTGGAGTGCAGAGCAGTGCAATTTGAGGAATGGCTGTCATCACCTCTTTCTTTTGCATAACATAAGAAACGGATTTTTTAGTAACAAATTCGGCGATAGTTATATGAAAGTTCGTTGTTCTCAATGTTCGAGCTTGCACCTTTCTCACTTTTCCGTAATAACATAAGGAATCCGCTGAACGGAAAAGTGGGAAAGGTGCAAGTTCGAACATTGAAAGCAACGAACTTTCATATAACTATTGCCGAATTTGTTACTAAAAAATCCGTTTCTTATGTTATGCAAAAGAACGAGGTGATGACAGCCATTCCTCAAATTGCACTGCTCTGCACTCCAACTTCTTTGTCCCTTCGTCCACGTGACCCGCTTGAAAATAGCAGTCAAATCTTGTTTGATACCCTTTGGATGAGGTATCGGTGGCAGATACCTAATCTTGCTACTCTGGAAATCAACAAAGTTTGGCCGGTGAGAAACTTTGGCTGATTTCGAAAAGATCGTTTAATAGTTGTTGTCCTCACGTGCAGCCATGGCTGATTTATGCATCATTTGCCTCGATGACAAACTTTGGCCTGCGGTGAACTTTGGCCTGCGGTTAACTTTGGCCTGCGGTTAACTTTGGCCAATTGGCCATGGCACCAAGCGGCGAAATTAAATCGCTAGCGAAAATGAGTTGATTTAGAGTACTTACCCTAAACTCGATAACAACTTTTCGAGCAACTGCACTGTCCAGCATTGTCTTGTACCACGGTATTAGAAGCTGTTGTGTGAGTATCCTTTGCCCAGGTGGATGACAGTTGAAAATATAGTCTTTGTTTTTCCCAGGAGGGCATGCCCAAAGGTTAACAGCGGCAAAGCCTCGCTTTGCTACATAGTCCTTATAGGCGATAAGCAGCCCATAATACACTTGAGTACGCAACTGCTTTGGCCGGAAGAAATGGACACTGTCCAGATACGAAAGGTATAAACGCCTACAATGAAAATACGCAAAGAACAGAGAGCGAGAAAACACCCAGTACACAATTTACCGCCATGGGCATGTGCCTACTCAGTCACTGTCCAGATACGGAAGGTATATACCTACAATAAAAATACGCAAAGAACAGAGAGCAAGTCTTGAAGAGATTTCACTCAGCAGTCAACGGTGTCATATGTAGTACATGCACTTGTACAGCAAACTAAACAAAGTCAAAGTCGAGAGAGAGTGAGAGAGAGAGAGAGAGAGAGAGAGAGAGAGAGAGAGAGAGAGAGAGAGAGAGAGAAAGAGAGAAAGAGAGAGACAGAGAGAGAGAGCGAGACACACAGAGACAGAGAGATGGAGACAGAGAGAAAGAGAGAGAGATAGGGTAAGGGATAGGGAGAGAGGGAGAGAGAGAGAGAGAGAGAGAGAGAGAGAGAGAGAGAGAGAGTGAGAGAGAGTGAGAGAGAGTGAGAGAGACAAAGAGACAGAGAGAGAGACAGAGGGAGACAGACAGAGAGAGAGAGAGAGAGAGAGAGAGAGACAGCGACAGAGAGATAGAGACAGAGAGAAAGAGAGAAAGAGAGGGAGAGAGAGGGAGAGGAAGAGGGGGAGGGAGAGGGAGAGAGAGAGAGAGATAGAGAGAGAGTGAGACAGACAGACAGACAGACAGACAGTGGGAGAGAGAGAGCAAAAGAGAGATAGCCCGCGTGCGATAGATAGATAGAGGGAGAGAAAGAGTGAGAGTGAGAGAGACAGAGAGACAGACAGTCAGTGGGAGAGACAGAGAGAGAGCAAGAGAGAGAGAGCCCGCGTGCGATAGATAGATAGATAGAGAGAGAGTGAGAGATAGAGAGACAGAGAGACAGCCAGACAGAGGGGGTGAGAGAGAGAGAGAGCAAGAGAGAGCCCGCGTGCTAGAGAGAGAGAGAGAGAGAGAGTTAGAGAGAGAGAGAGAGAGAGAGAGAGAGAGAGAGAGAGAGAGAGAGAGAGAGAGAGAGAGAGAGAGAGAGAGAGAGAGAGAGAGAGAGAGAGAGAGAAAGAGAGAGAGAGAGAGTGAGAGTGAGAGTGAGAGTGAGAGAGACAGAGAGACAGACAGACAGACAGACAGACAGACAGACAGACAGACAGACAGACAGACAGAGGCAGAGAGAGAGAGCGCGAGAGAGAGCCCGCATGCGATAGATAGATAGATAGATAGATAGAGAGAGAGAGAGAGAGAGAGAGAGAGAGAGAGGGGGGGGGAAGAGTAGGAGAAAGAGAGAGGGAGAGAAAGAGAGCAGGAGCACAAAATGGATATAGATCTTACCGCCTATTAGGCTCGGGACTGTCAGAAGCAAACTCATGCACAATCATGCCAAAGAAGCACACGTCCTTGCCATCAATTTCCACAAAAGCAAAGACAGACTTTGCTACATAAGGAAACTCCTCCGGGAAAGATGTACCACTTAGCTCCTCAAACCTGGCATTAATGGAAGAAACATACACATACACGCACATGTACACAGAAACACACACACACAGAGTTGAGTATAATGAAAAAGGCTGGTTTGTATGACAGATGTATGATGATTTGTGAAAAGTCTCCGCACTAACTGAGATCCATGTGAATAATCAATACTAGTACACAGCGATAGACAGGTACCCAGTATATTCCTACTAGCCACAAGGAAAACACCGAAAAACATACCAGAGATGATTCCTGCCCGCTTTCTTGAACTAACCTTAGATCTTTTTTTCTTGCTTGAGAATTATACTATGGTTGGCACATTCTTTGGTGCACTATTTGCTGATCAAACCTTATGGCGGCACAGAACCTTAATAGGTAGAATGTCATAAACAGCAAATTGAATAAACAAAGGCCACACCCTAGATTAATTCGGAGAGGGCGCTTACGACAATATCATTATGTCTAAATATGCGTGGAATAAATTGAAAAAAAACAACAGCAACAACAGCACCACTGCCACCAATAACAGACATTACTTACTTTTCTTTGGTGGCATCCTTGACCTTCACTGTCTGCTTGCTGCTGGAGAGCACACGGATGTGAACGTGGCCAGCTTCACGGTTAGTGTCAGCAGTTGTAATGTAAGCGTTGATTCTCTCCTCAAGGTATGTAGCCAGAGCATTGCGCGGCAGTGCTACAAACAACAAGAGAAAAAGTCATGAACAAATATTTAGGTTTTCTCCAGGTGAACAATAAGACCAGTATCAATGCCCAGATTTCGCCAGTGCCAGATAACCCAATAACCAACCGATTCGTCCTCCCTCTCCGCTCTCTCTCTCTCACTCTCTCTCTCACCCTCTCTCTCACTCTTTCTCTCTCTCTCACTCTCACTCTCACTCTCACTCTCTCTCTTTCTCTCACTCACTCACTCTCACTCTCTCCGTCTATCTCTCTATCTATCTATCTCTCTATTTCTCTCTCTCTCTCTCTCTCTCTCTCTCTCTCTCTCTCTCTGTATCTCTCTGTATCTCTCTGTATTTCTCTCTCTCTCACTCACTTTCACTCTCTTTCTCTCACTCACTCACTCTCACTCACTCTCACTCTCTTTCTCTCACTCACTCACTCTCTCTCACTCTCTCTCTCTCTCTCACTCACTTACTTACTCTCACTCACTCACTCACTCTCAGTCACTCAGATTTTGAGGCTGAAGACTCTCCAGGTGCAAGGCAAGTGGTTGGAGTGGACATCGGTGATGTGGCAGGACCTCTAGTGGAAATCCCTTTTGTACGGTGGTACTGGTAAGGATTTGAAATTTCTTCTTGCGTCAACCCTCGACGTGCTACCTTCTCCGACGAACCTACGCCGTTTGGGAAACACGGTAGTGGATCCGTACTGTAGTTTGTGCCGTGCCTGGGCCTGTACTATGCGTCACATGCTGGGCGCCTGTCGCGTAGCGCTGGACCAGGGACGCAAGAAACAAACACGTACAAAACAACAATCAGATACAGAATAGAGGCAGATCTGGACGCTACTGGCAAGTAAAGAACCAGCAATCTGCAAGTGTTGCATGTTGTACAGACGAAGCTACAGTCACGTGACACAAAAATTCTATCGTTTGCCTCTATTTACAGTCTACTCTAAAAGAACTAAGAGAACTTGAGGCAAGAAATACGAACAAAAATCTGGAAACACACAGTGGCCAATAGGAATATGCAAACTCACCTTACACACTAGGCAATGGAAACGACTTCCAATAATTTCAGCCATGCAGGTATTGCAGCGGTAGCCGATTACAATTTCATTGCACTGGCTTTGCAGCTCGATGAGCATGCACAGTGTAGCGTACTGCGCGTGCCGCAAAGTTGAAAACTCAAGATGCTTCTTACGACAGTAGGCAAGAAATGAATCCCGACTCTCCATTATATTGCCGCTTTGCAGCTCGTCCACATCCTCCTCCTTGGGCTCAAGGTCCCCAACCTTTTCCGAAGAAATCAGCGTGATGGTGAAGAACGCCTGGCCAAAGGGAACAAGAATAAAGCTAATGTAAGGAAATATTGGCAGCAACGAATACAACAAATCAGCGTAGGCGGTATTAGTCATGAAGTTGGTTGCTCCAACGAGGAGCACAAACGTCTTGCCGAACTTGGTACACTGTGTATTGAGCAGGCAGTGGTGCTTTCTTTCAGGTTTGGCGAGCGGAAGGTGCTACGTGCTCTTCGTGTGCTCCGGATGGCAATCGTGAGTCAGTCAAGTGTCAAATTCGGCAAGAAGCGTGTGCTTCTCGTTGGAGCAACCAACTTGAGTACCATTATGACACACCAATATCATAGTGTACAAATAAGTCACTTTCAAACATCGAATGTTACGTGCGGAAACTCATTTTAATATTCAGATACAAGGGCATACGTTTTCGATATCCACCTCGCATATTCAAAGGACTTATTAACCGAAAGCGTGTCGTAATTTGCAATCACCTGTGTTCAACAGATGAAGCTGTATGTGCTGATAGGCTTACAGTGTGTACGTCGCAAACTTGCTTCACCCAATGCCAGGCTTGCACTGTAAGTAGAGAGAGTATTGCTACAACCTCAACTGGGGGGCTGAAACGAACACAATTTCTCAGCAATCGAACGTTCTTGACTCTAACGAAGGAACGAACGAACAAATGTTCTTCATTCCTATAGCTATGCAGAAGACGTTACTTTAGATACGTCTGGAGCTCGCCAGGGTCCACACAGCTTTAATTTGGTGTTTGTGTGTTTGTGTCACGCCTGGCGCTATCCCGTATCTGTCCCGTGCCGTACCGTACCATCAAACACAGCTGGCCACATGCAGCTGGCCGCACTATTCAAATAGGGCTTTCAAACGCAAGATCATAACGTGAAGCAACTTGGAAGAATGGGTATGAATGCGAAATGTATGGAGGAATGCATGTAGGGCGATAGTGCGGGTTCGAATCCCAGGTAATGCCTGAAAAAAATAGGAGAATTGAAAACTTTATAACATCCCTATTATTTTTTTGCCGTCATCAAGGCGGTAGATGGTGTCGTATTACCCTCGACCGTACCTGTCCCGTACCTGTCCCGTACCTGTCCCGAACCTGTCCGGTACCGTACAATCAAAGACGGCTGGCCAAAATGCATATTCAAATAGGGCTTTCAAATACAAGATCATAACGTGAAGCAACTTGGAAGAATTAGTATGTATGCGAAGTGTATTGGGGGATGCATGCAGGGCGATAGTGCGGGTTCGAATCCCAGGTTATGTCTAAAAACAAAAAGTAGAAATTTATAAGAATTTATATCATTCCTGTGCTTTTTTTGTCTAAGTCATCAAGGCAAAAAAGCATAGCGTAGGGCCCTGAGCTTCCAAGCTCTCTCGTTGATAACTCATGCAAATCGTGAGAGTTCTGACAAGGACATGAATACCCCGCCAGGGAAGAAACCAACGCCATTGACATCACAACCTTCAGGGACCTTGCTTTGCTCTTCGTTGAGAGCAACATTGCCCCAGAAACGCTGTCGGATGGCTCCGTAATGTTGCACGCATGCCGCGCTATGCTGCCCCTCACTCGGGTAAGTAGGAAGTCGATGGTCCAAATATTTGTCTCTGGGAGACCATTGACACCAGGATTGCTCTCCGCATCTTTCCCACCATAACTGGTATAAACACTGTGTGTGGCCATCGAACTGCGCTTATACTCACACACTCCTTGTACCAACAGGAGTAGCATATCGGAACTGTTGTTCTCGCATTTTGCTGATTGTAGTAAAAAAATTGTTGAGCATATTGAGGAAAAAATTTCAGTTCTAATATTCGTAACCTCACAAATGTTCATTCTGCAAAGCTAAATTGACGAATATTTGAATAGTCGAGATACTCATTTCAGCCCTATTCTAAAGCATGTCTCATGCATGGCTTTCCCTTCCCAATGGTGCATGATTCTCCCACAATTGCGTATTTCGACCAAATTATTGATTACAAAATTTCCCACGTGGGCCATTCCAGGCAAAATGGCTAAATAAGGCTTTTGAAAAGAATATCATAATTTGTCATCTTGATTTTGATTGTGAAGGGCTGCACTAAAACTGATTTCTTGCTCATGATATTCAACTCCGAAGAAACAATCAAGTTAGATGTGTTTTGGGCAACATTACCAACGCAGGCCAAGACCAGCACGTCGATGGATAATTTTGTTGCTAAAATCTCTGCTCAATTATAGGTTTCATGTATATCCTGCTGGTTTGTCTCCTCCTTTGCCTTCTTTGCCTCTTATTTGTATTCTTTTATCTGTTTTACTGCTGTGGTTGGCTTTCACCCTTGTCTCAGTTTTATTGGCCGTCATCATGATGTGCCATGAGATAATGATATAAATACCGCCATCTCTGTCCTATCCCTTGTGCCTGCTCTTTAACATGTCATATCGTAAGAAAGGATTTGTGACGTAGGAACTGGTTGCAGGTTTTTGAGCTCTGGTCAAAGTCCCCCCTTGTTCCCCCCCAGCATGCCAGCCAGTCAGCCAAGCAGGCTGCCAGTAGCAGTTCCAGGTGTGAAGTCGTCTTCTCTTCGCCAAACTCCTGAGAGGTTGAGCAGAAAGTCTCCCGCGGCGGATCGCTCGCCTCCTGACGGCCTGCGACAGCAAATTGACAACACCTGTTATGACGGGAGCCAGGCGGAACAGGACGACACTGCGTCCATGCGCAGCACGTTAAACGAGATATTGCGGGAGCAGAAGGATATGAGTATGAGAGTAAACAGCATCTTTCAAGAAATCTCCCTGAAGCTAGAAAGTGTAATGGCGGAAAATCGCTCTTTGAGAGAGAAGCTGACGAAGTTTGAAGTGAGAGTGGAGGAGATGGAGAGGACTTTCCGTACTCGAGATGATGACCCTGCGTACCGTACCAGGAGTGCGGTGCAAAGCAATGCACCACGTGGAAACGCGTGGCAGACAGCTGGGAGCCACAGTGCAACGCAGCTTGCCGAGGTCATAGCAGAGGAGGTAGAGAGGGTGAAGAGGTCGGAAAACCTTATTCTCAGGGGCATCCCCGAAGCGGACAATGAGGACAGCGTAGCACTGTCATCCAGATGTGAGCAGCTCCTCCAGATTAGTGCTGACCAAATACTCTCTGCAGAGCGCATTGGTTCCGCCAGCAAAGCCGTACAGGGCAAGGCCAGGCCAGTGAGGCTACGCATGAAAAGCCACGAGGCCAAGTTGTCAGTGTACCGTAAACGTCTGGATTTGAAACTGAATGATCAAGATGTGTACGTGAACAACGACCTGACCAAGCAACAGCAGATTGCTAGACGACAGGCCCTGCCTAGGTATAAGGAACTCCGCCAAAAGGAGATCCGTTGCTCGCTACCGTATGGTGAGATTTTGAACCCAGATGGCACCCCATACAGTGCAACTGAAATCGATGAGCTGGCAACACAATAGGTTTCATCAGGGTGTCCAAGAAATCACCAGCAACACTCCCTCTCAGCTACTTCACCTCATCTCCGAGCAACAGATGTCGTCGCTGACCCAGCACCTGACATTTTAAGAAATCCTTGTAACTATCCATCCAGTCAAACAGTGCCTGATTGTCCGTCTTCACCCATCAAGAGCTTAACCATCGCCCACATCAACATCTGTAGCCTAAGAAATAAAACTCATGAAATCCATTGCATAATGTACAAGTACAGAATCGATGTGCTAGCAATCAGTGAAACATGCTTGGACTCTACTGTGATGAATTGCGATCTCGCTATACCAGCCTACACTCTCTATCGCCGGGACCGAGCTGATCGCAGAAAGGGTGGCGGCGTTGCCATGTATGTGCAGGAACAACTGAAATCCAGGCAACTTCAAGTCAACGACAGGCTAGAGACCATATTCGTTGGGTTGCACACCCATAGCCGAACGAATCCATTTCTATCCATCGGCTGCGTATACCGCGCTCCCGACAGCCATGTGGATTTCTGGGAGCAGCTCGACAATAGCGTGCAGATGGCCTCCGCGACATGTCCGGACATCCTCCTCCTCGGTGATTACAATGTCAACATGCTCTCTGTCCCACCTCACCCAAACGCCCGCTATGTACTAGGCCTCTGCGCTGACCACAGCTTACAAAACGTCATACTACAGCCCACCAGAGTTCCTAGTCAGTCATGCCTAGACCTTGCACTCATACCGACAACAATGACAACGGCTGCTCCGTCTTCCTCTCCCATGTCTCTTCATAGTACATTTGTTCACAGCGTCGATGGCCTGTCCGACCACCATCTTATTGGCCTCTCTGTCCGTGTTAGTAGAGCCAACTTTGAACAGCCACACGAGCAATTCTCTCGAAGACGCCAACCTAGCCTGGCTCACCTTGACCGTAGTGTAACGTCTGCAGCTCTCAAACACATCCTTGACCCCTCAGATGTATCCGGTGGTTATACTCTAAATGCAGCGGCAAGCCACTGGCAACAAAGTGTCATGACAGTACTAGATGATCTTGCACCATTCGTTACCCAGAAGCGCGCAGCTTACTCCAAACCCCGCCCCCAGCCCTGGGTCACCCCAGAGCTGAAACAGATGTTTCATCGACGAAGCTCAGCCCACCGCGCCTTAATAAAGCACCCCATGGATGACCGCCTCCGACAGCAGTATCGTGCAATACGTCGTCAAGGAACTTTACTAAACCGCAAACTGAAAAGTGTGTACTACAAAGATAAGTTCAGTGCCGCTACAGGAAATCCTAGACTCCAATGGGCAGTGCTGAATCAACTAACTGGAAGGAGAAAATCCCACCCCACACCGAAAGCCTCCCTCTCATCTTTGTCAGATACCCTAGGCAATATCGTCCATGATGAACACCGCGCTGCTCTTACGACCCCAGACACTCCGGCGGACGACTGTTTAGACAACTGCCTTCTCGAATTCCAACCCGTTACAACAGCAGCAGTAGCGAAGATTCTCGAACGATTGAATACCACGAAAGCATCTGGATCAGACGGCATACCAGCTTACATCTTGAAACACCATGCCGCCGAGCTGGCCAATTCCTTAACTTCCATCTTCAACCAGTCATTGTCTAGCGGAAAGGTACCGTCAGCCTACAAACTAGCGTCTATGTGTCCAGTGTTTAAGAAAGGCGACCCCTACGACAGTTCCAACTATCGCCCAGTCTCGCTACTGCCCATTATCTCCAAAGTCTTGGAATCACTAGTGCTCCAGCAGCTTCACGACCATCTGGACATCACACCCGGAGCAATTCCAAATGAACAGTTTGCATACAGGCGGAACCACAGTACTGAGGACCTTTTAACACTTGCCATCAACAACTGGCAGAGAAGCATGGATACCGGAGACTATACGGCCGTACTGCTGCTCGATATGAGCAAAGCCTTTGACCGCGTCCACCATCAAACGCTAATAGATGACCTTCACAATCTGAAGATCCGTGGAAATGCTCTTGAGTGGTTCAAGTCGTATCTGTCTCACCGACAGCAACGCGTAGAAGTGAACGGAACCTCAAGTGACTGTAGAACCTGCACTAGGGGCGTTCCCCAGGGTTCCGTCCTAGGCCCTACCCTCTTCAGCATCTACACTCGACTTGTCCCCACTCTGCCATTGCGTTCCCAATGCCTTCTTTATGCAGACGACACCACCCTGTATGCCTCTGGAAAGTGTCCACGAATTCTCATGTCTTACTTAGAAGACGATTTTTCAGTGGTTAAGCAGCACCTCACAGATCGCGGCCTGCTCCTGAACTCCAGCAAGAGCCAAGTACTACTGATCCACAGCAGACGCTCACATCCCCCACCTAACCTGAGCATTGTCTGTGGTTCGACTGTTATTGCCCCGTCTGACGAAGTTAAGTATCTAGGACTGACTCTCGATTCAACTTTAAGTTTCAGTGCCCACGTTAACTCCCTCAGAGAAGACATCGGAAAGAAACTAGGTGCTTTTCGACGTGGAAGGAGGAACCTTGCTGTCCAGGCCAGAAGGCAGTTCTACTTGTCAGTAGTCCAGAGCAAGCTCGAGTACGCCAGCACTGCCTATGTCCACTGCCTCGCTGACAATGTGAGAGATCAGCTGCTACGCATAAGTAAGAGAGCCCTTAGATGCATATTTGAGCATGACACATTCACGCGGACATCATACTTGCTTGAGCGATACCACATAATTAGCTTAGACAAAAGATATCATACTAAGTCCATATTCTTCGTGTTCCGTTGCATCCACAATATCTGCAGTTCACTCCTCTCTGACATGTTCTCCCTTCGCCGTGACTGCGCTCACACAGACAGAGTAACCCGCGGCCAAGTCAATTATTCCCTTTCCTTACCCATTGTGCAAGCCCAAGCTGGATACAGATCTATTTCATTCCTTGGTGCTGACCGCTTTAATACGCTTCCCGAATCCCTTCGCACAAATCATATCCCCAATTCATTTCGCCAGGAACTTAACAATCTCATTCATCTTGGGCACCCTGTAAGAAGACCTCAGGGTCTGTTGGGAATGCCCAAGTAAAATAATAAAATACAATACAAAAAAAAATCGTACAGGAGTATTTCCGTCCGTCTGGAAATCTGCTGTTATCGTCCCGATCTATAAGAAAGGCCAACGCTCTCAGGCTGGCAACTACAGACCAATCTCTCTCCTTCCCGCTGTGTCCAAGGTCTGTGAACGTATTTTCTTTGAGTCTCTGTACTGCCACGTCACCCCAGCGCTTTCACCATCTCAATCCCGTTTCTGCCGTGGAGACTCCACAACTTTCCAACTAACACGTCTAGTACAAGACATCTACACCCAGCGGAACCTCAGGCGGCATGTTGGCATCGTGTTCTTTGACCTAGCGAAAGCTTTCGACACCGTCTGGCATCGTGGTCTGCTTGCACAGCTAGAGTCCGTCTTCTTGGTACACGGTCCAGCCCTGCAATGGCTCTCATCCTATCTTTCCTGCCGCCACCAGGCTGTCAGAGTATCTACCTCCCTATCAGACCCATTACTAGTCGTGTCTGGGGTACCCCAGGGGTCCATACTTGGGCCGCTCCTATTTCTACTGTACGTTAATGACTTGCCAGCCCTTGTACCAAATGTAAGTCTTTTTGCTGACGACACTGCTCTGATGTGCTCCGACAGCTCGGCAGACAACCTCACGGCCTCCATGCAGTCCGGGGTCAACGCTACAGTAACATGGATGGAAACCTGGAAACTGAAGCCTAACCTCGCCAAAACCGAGGCCATGTTCTTCTCTCCCTCGCCCCCCACTCAACTTCTGTATTTTCCTGGTCTAAATAGTACACCTATTAAAGTTGTTAACGAGCACAAGCACCTGGGCGTTATTCTCGACCGCCAACTCTCCTGGTCTCCACAAGTCCAGTCTGTGTGCAAGCGTGCGAGTGCGTCCTTAGGTATGCTACAACCCCACTGCCAACACTTGAATGATAACTGCAGAAAATTGTTCTTTAAGTCGTACATTTTGCCTATATTTGACTATTGCGATATAGCTTGGGGCGGGTTGTCTCAGACTTTACTCCACAGACTGGAGGTACATCAACGCTTGCTTCTGAAAATTCTGTTTCGAAAAGACCAAACATTTGCCTCCCTTTGTCTTTATAAACTTGCTTCCACGCACCCTCTTCTTGCCCGACATCAGCAGCATCTTTGTATCCTTGTGCAAAAAATCTTCCTAGCCCAAGTCCCGAAACATATTGCCAAGTACAACTGGTTTGTTACCACTAGACCAACACGCAATGCCTTATCACTGCCCCGAGCTAGTTCCTCTCTGTTTTTGAAATCCCCTTTCTTCTCAGCATACTCCCTTTGGTCTAACCTGCCTACTAGCATTAAGACATGCCAGGATATCAGGAAATTCACAGTCCAGCTTTCCACACTGTCTCATCCGAAGTGATCCCATGTATTATTAATGTGCCTCAATTTCTTTTTCTCTCCCTATCTCCTTTCCCTCTCTGACAGCATCTTTCTTTTTTTTCCCCTTTTAGCTTGCCGTGGTTGGCTATCACCTGACCTCTCATGTTTGTTGGCAGTCTTCGGACGGGCCAGGAGATGTTGAATAAATAAATAAATAAATAAAAATACAAAATACAAAATAGATACAAATTCAAAACATGCATTTGCAATCAAACCAGTCGTCGCACTCCACGAGACACGGGTATACGCAACGCAAAGAAAGAATGAAACCATGGACCTACATTTTTATCCTTCTCCAACCGGGTCAGGACACGCGTAGTGAACTCTTTTCTCTTCCGTGCCGGTGCTGGCTTGCTCTTCTTCTTTCGGCCTTACTGCGGCTGTGAGCATCCCTTCTTGCAATTCTTCTGCTTGACATCATAGCAATACAGGCACACAACAACAGACCACGGTCATCATAGCAATACAGGCACACAACAACAGATCACGGTCATCATACCCCTCACACACCTAGCCAATAACAAAAACCATCCACATGGATCACTGCATTCTCAATCAAATATTGTCTATTTTTCTTTTCTTTTCCTTTTCACTTATCCCGTTATCAGCCCTCTTAAGGGTTGTGTATATCACTGTTGAGGCATCCGATGATAAGAAAAAATATATTACTACTAGTCGTTGACAAGTCACGGTTCTACGGCTTCAGGAAGGCATTGGCTAATGAAATAGAGCTCTCACTACTTGGCGGAGGATTGGCATACGCCAAGCTTTAAGCTAGTGTATGGTTTCTCTTGTTCCCACACTGAGAACACCTAAGGTATCTTCCCAGTTCCAGAACAGCGTAGCACCCCTTGTTATGTTATTTACAAGGCAATATTTCAATGGCCAATGTATTAAAATCACTACTGTATCCTTAATGGAAGTATTGACCCTCAGGCAGCCTCCTCCTAATCTAGTCCTAACCTTTAGGATCTGATCAAGATGAAAGACCGTTGAGTAATAATACAAAGGCGTTGGAGTGCAGAGCATTGCAATTTGAGGAAAGGCTGTCATCACCTCTTTCTTTTGCATAACATAAGAAACAGATTTTTTAGTAACAAATTCGGCGATACTTATATGAAAGTTCGTTGCACTCAATGTTCGAGCTTGCACCTTTCTCACTTTTCCCTAATAACATAATGAATCCGCTGAACGGAAAAGTGGGAAAGGTTCAAGTTCGAACATTGAGAGCAACGAACTTTCTTATAATTATTGCCGAATTTGTCACCTTCATCCCATGCACTCCATCATCTCAGCGGCATTGAAAAAAGACAAATTGCCAACAACCATAAGACGAACAGCGGCCGGTGCCCAAATGCCATCCAACCAGTGGTAAAATGTTTGAGATGGAGTTGAATTCGAGAAAGAGAGATGTAAACCATCAGTCCTGCTCTACACAGAAGATAATGCATACCTCGGCCTCAGCTGCGATCTTCTCCGCTTTTTCCTCCTGGGCGATCTTCTCAAACACTTTAGACCAGTAATCACCCTCAAAGTATGGCATACCCGGTCGGTACGCTGACTTGATCTTGAAGTGTAGACTGGTGAATATCCTGAAAGATCAAAAAAGTGAGAAAGGATAAACAACATTAGATTGCCAGTATAACAATAGGGATCAAACGGCTACGGTTTTCACCTTAACGGTTAACTGCTACGCTAACAGTCGATTTATCGGAGTACAACCTATAAGCTAGAGCAGTACGGCGTGTAGCTAGTTTGAACAGTATAGTACAATATCCTTGTTTGAAATGTACCGTGCGGAATTACTACTAATCCATACAAATGTCTGCATGCTCTTTCACATTATTTCACAGATCAGAAGCATTAGAAAGATGTCATGAAGTTGATTCAAATTGTCATGAAGTTGATTCAAATTGTAACGGAAGGTACTATGTAGTGTACATTTATACATGTGTGCGTTGGATACCCTTTCGTTACACTGGGATAATCTGTATGTACTCCCATGTTGTTTGATACCCTTTGGATGAGGTATCGGTGGCAGGTAACTACTCTTGCTACTCTGTAAATCAACAAATTTTGGCCGGTGAGAAACTTTGGCCGATTTAGAAAAGATCGTTTAATAGTTGTTGCCCTCACGTGCAGCCATGGCTGAATTATGCATCATTTGCCTCGATGACAAATTTTGGCCTGCGGTTAACTTTGGCCAATTGGCACCAAGCGGCGGAATCAGCGAAATAAAATTGCCAGCGAAAATGAGTTGATTTAGAGCACTTACGCGAAACTTGATAACAACTTTTCGAGCAACTGCACTGTCCAGCATTGTCTTGTACCACGGTATTAGAAGCTGTTGTGTGAGTATCCTTTGCCCAGGTGGATGACAGTTGAAAATATAGTCTTCGTTTTCCCAGGAGGGCATGCCCAAAGTTTAACAGCGACAAAGCCTCGCTTTGCTACATAGTCCTTATAGGCGATAAGCAGCTCATAATACACTTGAGTACGCAACTGCTTTGGCCGGAAGAAGTGGACACTGTCCAGATAGGAAAGGTATACACGCCTACAATAAAAATACGCAGAGAACAGAGAGCAAGCCTTTAAGAGATTTCACACAGCAGTCAACGGTGTTACATGTAGTACATGCACTTGTACAGCAAACTAAACAAAGTCAAAGACGAAAGAGGGAAAGAGAGAGAGAGAGAGAGAGAGAGAGAGAGAGAGAGAGAGAGAAAGAGAGAGAGAGACAGAGAGAGACAGAGAGAGAGAGAGAGACAGAGAGGGAGAGAGAGAGGAACAGAGAGAGAGAGAGAGAGAGAGACAGAGAGAGAGACAGAGAGAAAGAGAGAAAGAGAGAGAGAGGTAGAGGGAGAGGGAGAGGGAGAGAGAGAGAGTGACAGTGAGGAAGACAGGGAGACAGAGAGAGAAAGAGAAAGAGAGAGAAAGAGAAAGAGAGAGAGAGAGAGAGAGAGAGAGAGAGAGAAAGAGAGAGAGATAGAGCGAGAGAGAGAGCCCGCGTGCGATAGATAGATAGAGAGAGACAGAAAGAGAGAGTGAGAGAGTGAGAGTGAGAGAGACAGAGAGAAAGATAGACAGACAGACAGACAGAGAGAGAGCCCCTCGTGCGATAGAGAGAGATAGAGAGAGAAAGAGAGAGTGATAGAGAGAGAGAGAGTGAGAGTAAAAGTGAGAGTGAGAGAGACAGAGAGACAGGGAGACAGACAGTCAGACAGACATAGGGAGAGAGAGCGACAGAGAGAGCCCGCGTGCGATAGAGAGAGAGAGAGAGAGAGAGAGAGAGAGAGAGTGATAGTGAGAGTGAGAGAGACAGAGAGAAGGAGAAAGAGAAAAGGAGAAAGAGAGAGAAGGAGAAAGAGAGAGAGAAAAAGAGCAGGAGCACAAGATGGATATAGATCTTACCGCCTATTAGGCTCGGGACAGTCAGAATCAAACTCATGCACGATCATGCCAAAGAAGCACACGTCCTTGCCATCAATTTCCACAAAAGCAAAGACAGACTCTGCTACATAAGGAAACTCCTCCGGGAAAGATGTAGCACTTAGCTCCTCAAACCTGGCATTAATGGAAGAAACATACACATATACGCACATGTACACAGAAACACAAACACACACACAGAGTTGAGTATAATGAAAAAGGCTGGTTTGTATGACAGATGTATGATGATTTGTGAAAACTCTTCGCACTAACAGAGGTCCATGTGAATAAGCAATACTAGTACACAGCGATAGACAGGTACCCAGTATATTCCTACTAGCCACAAGGAAAACACCGAAAAACATACCAGACATTCCTGCCCGTTTTCTTGAACTACCCTTAGATCTTTTATTCTTGCTTGAGATTACAGTACAGTCAACTTCGCTTATAACGAAACTACTTGACGAAATCGAACGGAACCTCCGCAGTCTTGAAGCACTCGAACAAGACGTAGAACACGCGTTATTTATTCCTATGATCACAGCAAAGCTCCCACAGGCTGTCATGGTGCAGCTCGAGCTTGCAAGGGGCAGCGAAAGCGGGACTGTCGCATCCTTACGCAAGGCCCTTGGCATCTTGGTACGTGTCAAGGAAACTAGTGAACGCCAATGTTACGACGCGAACAAAGGACATCAACAGCATCCTGCGCCATCCCATGTCATTTCAACTGGTGTATCCCTCTTGCAACATCATGAGAAATGTTTCTACTGTTTAGGGGCACACTTAAGCGATGAATGCGGCCAGTACCGAGATTTAGATGTACGCAAAGCTCACTCGAAACTCAATGATCGCTGCTCCATATGTTTCAGATCGGATAAAATCGCACTTGACTGCAAACAGGCGAGACCGTGCTTCCACTGTAAACTGTCTACGCGTCATAGAAGCTTGTGCGATAAGAAGTTAGGCGGTGCCTCGGTAGTTCATTCGGAGTAGAAGCGGCGGAATCAGCGAAATGAAATTGCCAGCGAAAATGAGTTGATTTAGAGCACTTACGCGAAACTTGATAACAACTTTTCGAGCAACTGCACTGTCCAGCATTGTCTTGTACCACGGTATTAGAAGCTGTTGTGTGAGTATCCTTTGCCCAGGTGGATAACAGTTGCAAATATAGTCTTCGTTTTTCCCAGGAGGGCATGCCCAAAGGTTAACAGCGACAAAGCCTCGCTTTGCTACATAGTTCTTATAGGCGATAAGCAGCTCATAATACACTTGAGTACGCAACTGCTTTGGCCGGAAGAAATGGACAATGTCCAGATAGAGAGAAGAGAGAGAGAGAGAGAGAGAGAGAGAGAGAGAGAGAGAGAGAGAGAGAGAGAGAGAGAGAGAGGGAGGGAGAGAGAGAGAGAAAGAGAGAGAGAGAGAGAGACAGACAGACAGAGAGAGACAGACAGACAGACAGACAGACAGAGGAGAGAGAGAGAGCGAGAGAGAGAGCCCGCGTGCGATAGAGAGAGAGAGAGAGAGAGAGAAGTAGAAAGAGAGAGAGAAAGAGAGCAGGAGCACAAGATGTATATAGATCTTACCACCTATCAGGCTCGGAACAGTCAGAATCAAACTCATGCACGATCATGCCAAAGAAGCACACGTCCTTGCCATCAATTTCCACAAAAGCAAAGACAGACTTTGCTACATAAGGACACTCCTCCGGGAAAGATGTAGCA